GGGGTATTAGTTACAGATAAGAGAGGTATAACTTACAGGTAAAAGGGTTATAACTTTCAGGTAAGAGGTGTTTAACTTACAAGTAAGAGCGGTTTAACTTTCAGGTAAGATGGTATAACTTACAGGTAAGAGGGGTATAACTTACAGGTATGAGGGGTAACAGTTACATGGGTATAACTTACAAGTAAGAGGGGTAACGGTTTCATGATAAATGGGTTACGTGTACAGGTAATAGTGGTTATACTTACAGGCAAGATGGGTAACAGTTACAGGTTAGAGGGGTTTAACTTACAGGTAAGAGGGATAACACTTACAGGTAAGAGGGGTAACAGTTACAGATAAGAGGAGTAACAGTTGCAGGTAAGAGGTGTAGCAGTTACAGATAGGAGGAGTAACAGTTGCAGGTAAGAGGTGTAGCACTTACAGGTAAGAGGGGTTACAGTATACAGTTGTTTCATGCCTTATCAGTCAACAGTCAAAACTATTTTCCCCGAGGAGTTGGGACCCTCCAGATGAACTGTTTCCCAAAGCCGCAGGCCGAGGGAAACAGTTCATTTGGTGGGTCCCAACTCCGAGGGAAAATGGTTTTGACTTTTGACTGAGGTATAACTTTCAGGTAAGAGGGGTATAACTTTGGGGTAAGAGGGGTAGCACTTACAGGTAAGAGGGGTTACAGTATACAGTTGTTTCATGCCTTATTAGTCAACAGTCAAAACAATTTTCCCGAGGAGTTGGGACCCACCAGATGAACTGTTTCCCGAGGCCAAAGGCCGAGGGAAACAGTTCATCTTGTCGGTCCCAACTCCGAGGGGAAATGGTTTTGACTTTTGACTGATAAGGCAGGAAACAACTGGGTTTTTTTTACTTGACCAATGAAAAACAAAAAGTTCCATGTCGAATGTAATGTTTAGATCTACCGACAGACGACCGTCAACAATCAAGTACCAAAAACGCTTGATCATCGGGGGGGCTTGTAATTATGGGTGCGTTCGATTGCCTAACACGTTACCAGTCAACAGTTTCACGTGACCAGTCAACAGTTTTACGGTAGCACACATTAGCTATACTTCGTTTGGTGAATTGTCTGGGTAACAGTCGAAATTGATTAATATGCATTTATAAAGCGAGTGAGGTAACATTTACAGATAAGAGGGGTAACAGTTACAGGTAAGAGGGGTAACTATTTCAGGTACAAATGTAAGAGGGGTATAACTTACAGGTAAGAGGGGTATAATTTACAGGTAAGAGGGGTAATACTTACAGATAAGAGGGGTAACAGTTACAGGTAAGAGGGCTAACATTTCAGGTAAGAAGGTTATAACTTAAAGGTAAAAGTGGTAACACTTACAGGTCAGAGGGGTAACACATACATGTTAGAGGGGTAATACTTACAGGTAAAAGGGGTTATAGTTACAGGTAAGAGGGGAAACAGTTACAGGTACGATGGGTATTACTTACAGGTAAGTGAGGTAACACTTACAGGTTAAAGGGGAACACTTACAAGTTAGAGGGGTAACATGTACAGGTTAAAGGGGTAACACTTGCAGGTAAAAATAGTTACAGGTAAGAAGGGTAACAGTTACAGGTACGAGAGATATAACCTTCAGGTGAAAGAGGAAACACTTTATGGTTAGAAGGCGCTGATATACGGATTTGCGGGGAATCATTTTAAAAGTGTAACATATACAGTTTAGAGGGATAAATAGATATAATAAAGGTTAGGAGGGTAACACAATAGCATATGGTTGCATTCGAAAGTTAGAAAGTTTTATATATATTTAAATAATCTTTAAGAGTTTACGCTCGCATTTACCGAACTTCCCTTTACCAAACCCAGGAAGGACAACTCTAGCAATTTTGAGGAAATCTGCGACAATACACCAGAGGTGGTATACATATTATTGGAAGAAGAAATCGTCGCGTGTTTGATACATCGTAATTATAATATAATGTATCAATAATGGCTCTCTGCTTGTAGCCGATGCAGTTGCACATTGTCTGGCGAAGAAGTGTTAGCTTCACGCGATAACATCTTCTCCTAAATTACCAACGACTACCCTGTTCATGCTTACGTTGCACTTGGCCAGGCGAGTCGGGATGTTCAAATAGCAACGTTTCTTGGCTCTCCTCCTGATCTTTTTCGAAATATTTTTGGAGAAGACGACGATCTTTTCTTGTCTTTTGTATGAGACTGTTGCAATTTTGCAGAGAAAGCTTCTGCTCTTACCTTCCAATAATACATGTGTTCCTGTAAGTTACCTGTTTTGTATTATACTGGTTGAAGGCTATGCAATCGTTAAATGTATAAGTTTGCATTATTCAATCAGCTTATTTTTTCAGTCATTATACTTTATTTTGTAACTGTATTAATTTTCTATTGTTTATTTAAAATATGTATTTCATGTTACTCTTCGTGTTTGGAGGAATAAAGATATGAATGAAAGCTCCGGAAGTACCGGCACTTGTGTTTATAAGCATCGAGCTGGATAAGAACTTGTATACAACTGTACTAGTACGTCAGATAGTGCTTGAAATTTTGAAGTGCTGTTTCTATTGCAATATATATATATATATATAGAATCAATTAATGAATAAATAATTAAAGATAATTCATTTTTAAAATATAAATATTTGTAGTTATTGGATATTTTAGTCCAGTTTAGGGATCCGAAATTATCCTGTATCGGTTATCATGAAACTTCTTTTCTGATTTTGTACAATTTCCTATTTTGGAAGATTTGAGTATACGAAGGGAGGTAACTCTCAGACTTCGTTGTAACTAACGCGGATCGTTATCTGAGTTATCGACGAAAAATGTCTGCTTTTTAGACCAGTGTCTCAATATTTTCAGCGCTGATACGTCTGTTTTAACGGTTGTTTCGTCTAACATGTTACGTTACGATTAGATAATAGGTGATATTTATGGATATTTATAAGTGCCACTTTAATATATTTCGCCATATTGACTAGTTCTTTTGTGTTATCAACATCAAATAATCATATCATTTTAAACACTCTTGGCTTTTTATATAGTATTGTTTTCTTCAGAAACGTTTTAACGCTGGTTACTGATAGTTAACATATATTTCAAGTTCACCATTGTGTCTGCTTCATTCACCAAGTCAGACTTTAAATCGGTAAACCCTCCTTTGTTATTTCATCTGGTGCCGTGTTTAATTATAGAAGTGAATATTTGGTACATAATGTCTGTGTTTTGTAACAAAATTGAGTGACTATTAAATATTTACCAAGTTAAGAGACGTAAATATCTGGTCTAAACCCGGACCCCCTGATTGATTGTAAATAAAACAAAAACATGAGATACTGTCTGATATTTTTATTTATTTTGTGCAATTTGATAAAGATATATAATTATATATTTTAACTATCATAGATATAGGTGGGCCTCGTCACAATTAGGATATCGGCCCAATACACGCTTACTCGCTACAAAAAGCTTTGACTAAATTCTGCTACAATCACTCTCGGGGTCCATTGTGCTTCTCTCAACACAAGGAGCCCTGGGATTTATTGTACCACAGTGCACTGTACACAAAAGTGAGTACAGACACTGTGTAATTATCATTAAGTCGTCTATTTTCTAAAAGGAGATGCAAAATAAAGATTTCACGGAAAAAAGTGAGATATCGAGACACAGGTAGAAACAGTTGAAAAATGTCCACACAACGTCAAAATAGGGGACGTAGGATACACTACTAATCACACGATCCATGTGACACGTCATGTGACGCCTCACGTGATAGCGTACGTATAGTTTATGAAATATACTATCACCTACTCACAGCTAGGCTGTTTACAGTTCATTTCACCCTAAACAACAACATTTAGTTGATTATATATGGAGACGTCCCATGACTGCATATCAACATACAACAGTGAAACCGAGTGAAGATTGAATAGTATCATAGTTAACACAAACGTTCATACAAGTGTTCACGATCCTTGAACAGTCTCACCATTAACAATCACATGGTCATACAAGTGCTCATGCTTGAACAATATCACCGAACAATTTCACCATTAAAAATCACAAGTGTTCGTGATTAAACAATATCACTCAACATACAGTGTTTATGATGCTTGAACAATTTCACCATTAACACTCACAACATGCTTGAACGATTTCAACATTAACACTCACAACTATTCATGATTGAACAATCACACGGAACATACAAGTGTTCAAGATGGAGCGATCTCACCATTAAAAAGCACATGTTTGTACATTACACTCAGTGAACAAGTATTGATACAATAATGAAATAAATCATTTTTTTAAATAATAAAACATTTGAATGCGATTAGAACGTTAGGCTGTAGTCACGCGGCCAGTGCCTGGCTTTGTCAGTTAATTTTACATGGATCTTGGAACTACCAGGTTAAGATTTTTTTCTCTCATTTATCTTTCTGATTTTAATCCCAAACTGTCGAGGAAAAATAAAATTTAATCAGGTCGCTTGCACCTTTAGACTGTTTCCAACAATAGTATTACACCAAGCAGACAACTCAATCGGAATGACACTCATTTAAACAGCGAATTTGTATCGGTTAAAGGACTACGAACGACACCTGTCTAGTAAGAAATACAACCAACATAGCGTACCTAAATTAGCTTACAAGAAACGTACACCCCAGGTGAAGACAGCCTTTCGTGTTTACAGATAACTTTGGCATTCGTCTTTGATTAACAGCCCGACAAAACACACTAATCGGTCCTTGCTCCAGTTTATACATTTCAAAAAACTTTGGTTACAGCGAATAAGACTATCCCCTTTACATGAAATCACAAAGTATATCATTCTGTTTCATGTGTGCTCACTGTTGTAAGTCTGTCACCGGTTTGTCAACAATTCGACGTGTATCACAGCTCACCTCCTCCACAGAGAAATGTAATTCTAAACCTTGACTAGGACAAATGATATAACGACAGAATTAAATTGTGAAGAGCGCTTCCGGTTAGCTCCTAAACCGTAGATATTTTAATATTTTTGATTTGTCATAAGTTACCGATCTCAGGAACCTCAATCAAAAGTAACCAGAAAACGTATGCTTGAATTATTTATCTCTCTCGGGCAAACCTCTATGTGAAATGTGTTCGGAGTGTTTGAGAGGTATATCGGCCTTGACCAGAAGGACAGTATCCCCACAGTGTAAATATAGCAATACTTACACTTTATCTATAAACGTATTGACATTAGGCCAACCAACTCATGGTTATTGAGGTACTACAAATGGATATTATTGTGTCGCTTACCCGACCGGTAGCTTTATTATGACACAATATGCGTTAATAATACGTCTCTAATTACAAATTCAAACACTATAAACTGAAAGATTCAATACACATAGCATGTAGTCTTACACTAGAGGTCGTGACCAGCAGGGAATAGATATCAGATGGAGATTTATCGGCCTGGTCATTAGAGCTAATTTGTAAACTTGAATTGACAAACACGATGCTCTATACGGATACAGCCAACAACATTTACATGTTAGACATCATCTACCTACTTCTGTTCCATACCTCCACTTAAAGCCAAGAATATCGGCAAAGTACGTTATCCTTCGGACACCTGTTCTATAACCTTTTGGTTCATAATTCATTTTTTATACATTAACTATACATTAAATAAATATTGTTCTCTGTGATCTAATTCAATGTGATTTATTGACATATAAACAATAATAAAATGGAATAAAAACACTCTTAACTTGCGATCAAATGCACTATGGAGAAATATAATTATTACAATGTATAGCGAATAAAAATGAAAACAGTCACCATAAATTGTGTATTGGAAGGATAAAACCTACTTTGCCAAGTCCGTTGGTATGTTCCCGTGGGGTGTATGGAACAGGGACGATAACTCTGGATAGACATTGTACAATAGCAGAGTAACAGACGCGCGGTTACGTTGCGTAGGGTGTGTCAAAGCCCACACATTAAGTTATTGTAAACTATCTGAATTATCACTATACCCACTTCTACCACAGGAGGTAATGAAAACTGAGTAACGAATGACATCCACATACACAATCGGGCTTCTTGTAATCAACGGTGGGTAACTCCTGATATCTGATATATTTTTAAACATTCACATCCTGTTATTCTTATAGATACGATTTTAAAATGTCAACAAATGATGCAAAGGCTACGATATAGGAAACAATATCATTGCATTTCCAATGCCTTAACTCCGTCTGAATTGAATTTCATAAGAGATGTGTATATAGAGATTAACGATATAGTGGTAAAATAGCTTATGCATAGAGAGATTAACGATATCGTGGTAAATAGCTTATCAGTACAATTGTACAACACACATGTTTACCATCATGGGAAATGTCCTAGATTAAAATTCTTGACGGAAATAAGTTTAGAGGAATTATCCTAACATGTGAGTTGTATTCCTTTTTTTTCATTCCGGGGCAAATATATTCAAACGAGCATTTAAAATCAACATCAGGTATTCAATAATATTTACGCGTCTTGCAAAGTGAATTTTAATTATATTATTACATATATCCACCTATACCAATATTTCTTCCATTCCAAAGTTCTCACTTAACTTTAATGTTGACATTTGATACACTGAGAACAGTTATGACTCGGTCCTGTTTTCGGCAGAAATGAAGATGTTCGAGTGATTATGACGGTATACATGTATGACGTGATCTAATCACTTAGAGTGACAATGGAAACATACCACATGCATTTACACAAATATACTAGTAAACACGTGCACCATCTAGTGCACGCTGTCCTACAATAAATAACAATCTGACAGTCGCAGTCTTCACAATTATCCCCATACACATGTATACCTAACGATATTATGCTAGTCCCATTTCGACCTGAAGCTCCACCAGATCCATCAGACACAGTCGACCCCTCTTCTCGCCGCGAATGATTTCGTGGATATGATTGTTTCGCGCCTTAAATGGCTTATCCTCACTCTCCATCAATGTTTTTGATATTAAATAATCAAGTGATGTCATTGGATTGACATGAGTTACTTCCTCCTCCTTTTTTTCTACAACAGGTGGCGCCTTGTTTTCGTCTTCCGCTTTTACTTGTTCTTTCGTTTTCATAAAAGATTCGAAGAGCTTTTTCCTGAATGTCTGCACATCTTCATCGTCGTCTTTCTGACTATCAATCTCACGTATCATGTCCGCCTTGATGGACTTTGCGTCGTACTTCGGGGGCTTCATCTTGGGTTCTATGGCAGAGGGAGGGCATGAGATCGCTGCCGTAGGAGAGGGCGACGACCTAGTCGCCACCGGAAGCAAAAGAGAATCAGTTTTTGGCTTCATTGGTGGAGACGTCTGCCGCATCAAGTATTTTCGGTTGCTTTCATGAGCGTGTTGCAGAGAGGTTGCGCCCTGTTCCCGTTTGGGGTCAGGTGAGTACCGTTTTATACCCCTCTTCTTTGGCAACACCGGTAGAAGAGTAGCGCTTTTACTTCGTGCACGCTGACATGGTCCCACATCTAAGTGTTGCGCGCCATTTGGTCTATTAGTAGCGCCACCTATAGACGGCACCCTTGTGTCTAACACAGCTTTATTGTCATTGTAACCAGTTTTACTGTTGCCCATGCTATTTTGAGGTTCACAGTCCACGAGTTGTTGAGTATAAGTGCGGTAAAACGGACTAGTTGATTGGTCGTATCTGGTTCCGTTACAGGAAGTTAAGCTGTTTTCCGGTGCACTTGCTGTGGCGGCGCCACTACCAACTGAACATTGTCCAGTTTCTTCATTGTACATGTTCACGCGCCGACGTTTTAGATTGAAAAATTCCGGTGAGGTATTTGTGCGCTGGTTGTAGTGACTGGAGGAGATGAAGTGGTTGTAGAACGGATATTGTACGTGGTCCGGCAGCTGTTGTTGTTGATGTTGTTCTTGTTGGTGATGGTCACTGTCTTTGCTAGCCTTTGAGGAGGACCGATTCTGGCTGTCAAGTTGTATTATGTGTTTAAGAGGACAGTTGCAATTCTCCACCTGACAGATGGGTTCGTCACGGCTCGGGAAATCCTCCATTTTATCCTCCTGCCGTTCAGCCTCGTCCTCACGTTGACTCAGGTCTAGCGGTCTCTCCATTCACACAGTCACAAGATGAGATGGGACTGTAATAGACAAAATGCCAATTCTGAAAGAATATTGTTCAATTAATAATGTCAACAGAAGTTTTTAAACAGTAATTTCTTAGAATATACAGTTTCAAGGTTGCATTACACTTTGCAAAGATAGTAAACTATTGTTAACAACAAATAGCAGCGTAACATATACAAATAAACAGTCTGAAGAATCGCCTAGAAGAGATGAAAGTACTAAAGACTCGTTTTTAAGAATTTTTCTTTATATAATATATATATATATATAGTGGAGGGGGTCTATACGGGTGACGCACTTCGGAAGGGTCAAAAAGCACGTGACGGAAGTGGGCACATCCTTCATTCATGAATTGTTGAAACAACTTTGCTAAGGAATTTGGTCAAACCCCCCTCAGCCGTTTGGAGGACTACACTTAAAGTAAACGGTAACAGACGCCTCGACCCTAACACCAGATAAGCTCAAATGTACATATGTTAAAGAACATTTACATTAATTTGAAAAATGATAATAGATTATTGATTATATTTTACAGGAAAATATTAGAATATCAAATAGGTACTTCCTACAAAACAAGAGGTCCAAGGGCCTTAGCGGTCACCTGAGTTATATCATAGGTACTGGTAGCTTTATTTTATTGTTTAGATGTGATGTGGAAATCAGCATGTAAACTAAGTGAAATACAATACTTGTCATATCATCAAAGGATAAGAATTTGAAAATATTGGTAAATGTTCCCTTTGGGGCCCCGCCCTAGCCCCTGGGGATGGGGCAGGAAT